AGCCGCTGGCTAGACTCAGTTGAGCTTCTTGTTGCAGAAGCTATTCCACTACTCGGATTTTTGACCATTTCTTTCGTTTTTTTTTCTCTCTGACACACCTTTGGTACTTCTGTCTCCATATCATCAGGCGACAGTTATCGCGATTTCTACCCCGGAGGATTCATTTAGCGACCCCATCCACCTTTTTTCGATGTTAGCTAGGAAATCAGCCCTGCATCACATGAGTAGTTAACCTGTTCCAGTTACAGTTTGCCTCATAACTAGTAGTCATCTTCTAGTACACAAATTCAACAAAAGGCACAGATGACGCTCTTCATACTATGGACTAGCGCGAAGAAAATTGATTGGGGAAGAATTTGTCTTCCTGACCCGTTCGTTGCTTTTGTAACTAATTTGGCTTGGTGGGCGTCTATGCGAAGTGGCGGAGCGTGAAGCGAGCGCGACGCGCTCTGCGACTTGGTGAATTATCAGCTTCAGCCAATAAGGCGTTCAAACCGCATCAAGCTTGCGATTCGCGCGAAACGTGCACGCCTTGCCCTAACAACAATACTCGTTGTGTGGTGCGCCCATGTTTCTAACTGGGATTTGCTTTTCTCCTTTCTCATCACTTTCATTTTTTTATATGGGCCAGTCAAGAGGCATAAATGTGGATAGCTCCATCTCTATTCAGTCATTTGTTGCTGCTTTACTCAAAATGAATACCCCCGGCGCACCACACGGCGCTACTGCTCTTATAGCCATATGTCGCGGAGTGGGTTGTGCTGCACAGGTGCAAGTCCTGGACGGTAGCGCAAAGAAAACCCATACACGACCCCGGTGGCCGCCCCGAGTGCCAGCGACACGTCATAAACAAACACGTTAGAAGAAAAAGTGGTTCTGATGTTTTCTGCTAATAAGTCCACGTTCATTAACTCGCACATAAATAGTGACATGCAGCAGAATTCTCAGCGGTCAAGGAACTAGAGTAGGCCTTTGTAATGCATTGCAGGTGGTTTACAGGAAGCATAATGCGGCCGGTGACGTGGCGCTCGCGGCAAAGGGTGTGGGTATGTGGCGTTTTTTTACGGAAAGGTGCGCTAGTTGCAATATTCTAAGCTAATTTTGCTTTACCTAAACTTCGCGGTCAGTCATTTGGAAGTCGGTGTAGCTTGTCATATGCTGGGAATATTTCTGAGTTGCATTTGTGTATAAACGCTGATAATAATTGAAATCTGAGAAATTTTCTATTGCATTATTCGGGATTACTAACCAAAGACGGCAGGGATCCTTACATATACTCGACCAATCAGGTATTAAGACCGGCTTGGGACACTAACAATAGGTAATCTTTTTTTGGTTTTTCCTCTTCTGTCGCACAATGTTTGACGGAGTTTCTCACATCAATACCTTCATCCCATCAATCACCTCCTAGTGCCGTTGTAATCGATTTAGTTGAAATTCGTAAGGCAGGAAAGTGTTCTGTTTCTATATTTGGGAACTTTTTTCGGATTATAAGTTTCGTTGAAATTACAGCGGGGGAGTTGGTAGTTTGCTTTCAGACGCCCGGACGCGAGTTTGATGGCAAGTGGTATGCGAGGGATGAGAAGGCGGACGTTGTCTGGGAGCCATGTGAAGTCGACGAGTGGCGGTTCGGATGTCGAGACCAGTGGATTGTCCGATAAACCTGTTGGTAGATCGATAGGCATGAATCGGTGCTGAGTGAGATGAATACACGCTAGCAGTAAAGATGTGATAGTGTAATTGCTTCTTACCTGGTTAGTAGTTGACCTAAATCTCTCACCCATGTAAATTGGGGCCAAACACTCCTTTGCCGTGAATGGTTAGACCGACGTAAATCATCGAATAGAGCGGTCGTAGCGTACGCAGGTTGGTTGCGATACGGCAATCGAGCGGTTCGCTGCCGCGGCGCGACGTGGATGTTAGCGATCGTCTCGATGGGCAGAAGTCTGAACTCGGCTTAGTCGATATAGTGGGTTTGGCGTATCAGTAATTTGAATTCGGCTTACGTAATTCGACAAACATTCAGATCGCAAGATGAGTTCACTGAAGTACTCACCTAAACTGTGTGGGGTAAACCGATGTCTTCGAGGTTTAGTTGTTTTAATTTACAGACGGTGGCATAGATCTATTACGCGTTAACAGCTTGTGATGTGATAAAATATTTGGGAGTTTCATCTTTACGCAGAGGTCACAGTTTGTTCAAGTCCTTGAGTCACTCGTAGCCTAAAAATAGTTTGACGGGTTTTACAGTGGCGCAAGAGGCGACGAGTGTTGAGGAATGGGTAGTAATGGACAAATTCCCTCTCAAAGTTACGAGTTCCGTCTCTGTTATGTCTTTTCTTCGAATCTCGGTAATTCAGGCTATCTGTTCTTGAGCGAATTTCAGTACTATCTGTTTGGTTATTCTGAAAAAAACGGCCTTTACTCATTCGTTATATTGCCCGTTATAACCGGTTTTTGTGCTTTGGGTTTCATATTTTTGTTTTTAGATGATTGTTTCAATTACGTCAGTGAGGTTGTTTGCTGCTTGTAGTGGAAAAAGCGGGCTTGATTAAATTATAGCTCGACGCATACTCAAAATTCCCGGACGAGCGGTTGGGAACCAAAGTGATCGTCAACTCCATCTTGGGGCAGCGACTTCTCGTTCAGGATGAAGAAGAAGGAAGGGTCTCAGCGATTGTTTTTGCGGGAGCAGTCGACTCCCGGATCGGATGCAGGTCAGTGCGTCTATGTGTGGTCAGGGTGCAAATCCGTGTCGAGGAAGAAACCCACTGTGGGTAGACCCCGGTGACGGGTAGTTCGGTCGCCGTCCCCGTAAGGGGTTCTCAATGATATGGCACCTCTCATCACAGGAGCGATGATTTACAGTGTCACACCAGAACGAAGAAACATTTGAAGTAAATGAGAAGACAATTAGAATGAATAGGAACGGAGAAACACTTCACCTCGGCACCATACCGCAGAAATCCGTGGTCACACCAAGGATCTGCAAAAGCAATGTACCATTGTGAAAACACGAATTCTACGGCATGTACACTCAACAGAAGAAAAAACGACGCAATAAGAAAAATAATGATAAATAGGCATGTTACATGGGGAGATTTCCGATTTAAAGGGGCAGTATTTCCCGGCGTCGGGGGGTGGGCTTTGCGTGGAGCGGTTTTTCATGAAATTCGCTTTCTTCCCTTATGTTTCACTTATACTTTCTCGAAATTTTTTGCGAGAGCGTTTGAAGGTGTGCTTCGAAAGAGCTTCGATTGCAGTCTACCATCGCTGGAAGTTGTTTTGAGATGCCCGTTTATTATTCTTTCCTATAAGTAGACTCAGTTGTTTATACGTCGAGTAACGTCGAAGGTACTAAAATTTCCTGTGAGTTGTTGGTCTTTATAGAATTTCTAATTTTTTCGATTTTTGGGAAGATGTGATTGTTTTGGGAAAGTAGAAGGGTTTGCTTTTATGGTTTACTGATTTCTTTCGAAAATCCTACTTAAGAGAAATCTGCGTCGAGGAAAGACGAGGGGTTTTTTTTTTCACTGAAACAGGATTCTTTGACAGACTGCTATTACTGCAAGGAATTTTTAAACCTTTGAAATGTTAGGTAGAATCTCTCGGGGGTCGCTGACACAATCAGAGATCAGCTCTATTTAGTTTCGGTCTAGTATACGCATGCGTCGGTCCTTCGCGGAATTGAAGGTGTTGCGTGTGATGAGAGTTGCTAATAAACGAAGTGTTTTTAGCGTGATCAAACGTAGAAGTGTCTTATAATCCGTGTCAAGCCTCACTATAGATTGCTCTCTCTTTTCCGGCTCTTGACAGGAATTGACGGCGATCCCCACCCCCCCCCCCCCCCCTGGATACCGTTTCAGCCCAACAAGGTGCTGTTGGCATGTATCGTTACATTACAGCAGTGTCCTGAAGCACGGGTTAGGGAATCGCGACTTTATGGACGAGGCTCTGCGCCCAGTCGATGCAGAAATAGGGGGTCCTTCAGGAGCGACGTTCTTTTTTCGAACAGAGTTTCTGCATATTGTAGGGATGATTGGAAAAGACCATGTTCGTTTCCCGCTATGACAGGCTTTGCAGCAACCAAATAAGAAGTGTATCGGGTTTACTGTTGTGGTTCCGGTACAGATACGAGATTCAAAAACTATGATCGGAATAACTTAAAGCCTCGATTTTCTCCTCGGGCAGGGTTTTCAACGATGTAAGATTAACAGTGGACTATCTCCAATAAATGTTTGACGGTGCTTTAATTTCTTTCGCTTCGTTGTCGCTTTGGAAAAAGCTATATTCGTAGGTCCGTGGAGGAGGTCTGGAGAGCATACGATGGAAGCGATAAATAGTTAATTCCTAATTCGATTACTGGGAAGCTTTAATTATGGTTGAATGACAATTTGTTAGTAGGAAAGGGCTCCTTTACTCTCATATGGTTACCACGCCACGTTCCGGATACAGATTACACATTAGGACCCCTCGTATTAATCAGGGGCAAATCGACCCACCCCCCCCCCGGTTTGCGAGGGGGGGGGGGGGGAGATTTCCTCGGGACCCGGATTTCACCCTGATAGTGGTTCTTGATTAAATGGTTAGGAGAAGCGCTAATTACTGGGAATTGGCCAAAACCATACGTGGAGCGTAGATTCCTTATGTCACTAGTTTTTATGCGGCTTGATGTAGCTTTAGAGTGAACAGAAAGGAATTCTTTATGTCCGAGGTGCTCGAGGGGGAGTTGTTCAGGCGGTTGAAAAAGGACAAGAAAACAAACCACCGAGCACAGGAGGAAAGAAAAAACCAAGAAAAACCAGCAAACACGGAAGAGTCATGCCAGGGTGAGGATGTCCATAGGGGCCGTGGAATTTTGTAATTTCTGTGAAAGTTGGAGGTATTTTGGTGAAATAGGTTGATGTTAAGGGGCAGGTGGTTTTTGAAATTTGTTCGTTTCAACAGGTAATAATCTATACTTACCGTTTGCGGAGACGGAGTTTTTGTCGTGTACACAGATGAACACAGGACAACAATCAGCGAGTGAGTTGGTTGAACAGCATCGCGGAAGGGGTGGGGTTGGGTAATGGACCAGATCAGTTGTGTCAAGTTTGACGATCGAAAGGATGTGATGAGATGACCAGCGCACGTATAACTCACGATGCCTGAACGTAAAGTGGCAGTTATAGACTCTCTGGTGCTCAGTCAACTGTTCGTGAGAGTGGTCATAAATTTTTGCTTTTTTATTTTTTCTTTCTTGGTATTTATAGTATAGGAGCAGCAGTAGTTAATCGATGAGGCAAGTTTTGTGTAGTGCATATCTTTGAAAACGGATGCTATAAGGTTTGAGAATCGCTGACAATTTAGAAGAATTCTATAGAAGCTACAATGATTGAATTTAGTGCACGGAACACCACCGGATCATTTGGGACTGATGACAAAAAACATATCTTTCTGAAATACTTTCTCTTCCAGGTATTAGATGGAGCGGGTCGCTGATGCGCAGGAGTAATGTGGGAGCTCAATGTATGTCGATATAGCTATGGTCGGTTGATGAGGTGGAAAATGGATTGCGGGAGCTGTACAAAATCAAACGGGACTGGTACGTTCTCTTCGCTCGCTTCTCGCATCGCGCTGTCGCGGTTGAAAGAATGCAGGCGTCGTCATTTACTGGAGCGAAGTGATTGGGAGGTGGAACGGAAGCTGTCTCCCCTTGACAGCTTAGTCGGCTGGGATGTGATTCGCATTTGAAACGAAGGGAGAAGAAACCCGACGGAGTCTGTAACGGGTACGATTATTTCACAGAATGTTGGGTTGCTGAACACTCTCTCGCTCCAGTGGGTCTAAACCCGACCTCTCGCTTTTCGGGCCAAGTGCGCTACCAGTTACGTCCGGGCACATTCTTCCAACTCGCTTGTTATGGTATACGTCCCATAGCTGTGCACTCTGCCGATTAATGCGGATTAGTAGTCATGTCTGTGACTGCTGTTCGAATTTGATGGTTATCATCGGGTACCTGACAGGGGGCCCGTCGCGCGGCAAGAAGGAAGAGTCAGCGAATGAGTCGAGCGCGTACTGTAATAATTTCGCGTCAAGTTATGTGCCATTGTACGTCCTAAATCACACAGCACGCGCTGCGACTCATCCGCTGACCCTGCCTTCTTTTCGCGCGACGGGCTTCCTGTCAAGTAACCGTTACTGTCACTATCTACCTCTCTGAATAAAAACATGGGTTACCACATTTCTATTCGAGTTCATTGTTTTCAGAACTTTTTCATACCGAACGAACTCATGTGCGAAATTTGAAGATTTTATTACGGGTATTCTATAAGCCTATGCTGATGAATAATGTTGTATCACCGGACGTTGTGCATTTATTATTTGCAAATTTGGATCAATTGCTAGAAATTCATACGGATATGTCAAATCGAATGCGGCAGGCAGTTGAACAGGTGAACAGATTTTTCTGTAGAAAAGTAAAATTAACACTTTATTTTCCTCCCATGATTATGCGCGCAAATGCTTGCTCCAAATTGGAACTTCAGTACCATTGTAGTCTGGGCTTTGAATTTCAGTGGCGACGTGATCCAAATCTCAATGGACTTTACGGCAACATTGGCGAGCTTATGGAGAAGATGTTCGAGGGTGAAGCCGGTGAAAAGTTTATGCAAGTCACGTCAACCTTCTGCCAACATCAACAACATGCACTCGAAATGCTCAGAACAAGGTCTGTTATGTAATTCAATTAGGAATAGAAGGTGAGAAGACGATTCTCGACTGTTTCCCAGCGGAACCTTTCACCAATTGTGAGCGATGGATCTTTATCCTTCTTATCCCAAAAACGATGTTAGGGTCGAAGATATGCAACATGTCAGAAATAAGCGTCACAGAACGGAGATTCTGAATCCTCATCGGACAATAAAGGTCGTCCCATAAGTGTAGGAATGGTGAAGAGATAAAAGTTTCCAATCAGTGCAGAAGTGTTTGGGCGTTTGCGAAGTTACTGGCAAGGTCAGCTAGGTAAACGGAAAGCCAAGGAAAAGCCAAATCACATTGAAACCGCAGGGAGTCCGGCATAAAGAACATTGTTCCGAGAGCTTGACTGCAGCGGGTGACCCTTCACTTGACAGTGGTGCCGATCCCCCCGTCCTCCCCTGTTTGCTAATAGGGGTGGACAACAGTTTTCCATCAGTGCTCCATAACCAGCCCAACTCGGCACATTTCGGTTCACGAAAAATCCCCAACCTCCTAAATCCGTCTACAGGGTGGGATACATACCTGTGGCATTTTGCACAGCTTTTTCTTCTCGTTTACCTACCTTTCACTTCATTTCCATATCTATACCCTACTGTACCCATCTACGAATCCCAATAACTTAGTTATGACACCTCTCTCACAAATTCAAGTAGATTTCTGTCGATGGATTGAAATGGTGATATACCTTTTGCCATTGAAACTTTTTCAGGTGTAAAAAGGACAAAGAGGATGCGTTGGTGCGATTTCTAGCCGATGCTGAGGCGAATGCTCTCTGCAGGAAGTTACAGCTGAAGGATATGATACCAGTAGAAATGCAACGACTCGTGAAATATCCGCTCCTACTCGAAACTATCGCCAAATACACCAATGAGCCCAGCGAGGTACACATACAAGTACATTCGGTCGGATCATCGTTACACCTACAGACACCTAAAGTGGGGAGCGAGATACAAATGCACTTGGTTTTGTCGCTAAGCACGCCATTTGTCGGAACTGAACCAGCATAGTCTCTGTACGCACCAGAAAGTCGTGGGACAGGACAATGGTTGCCAAAATATCGCTTGTACTGTGGTATGACAATTTTATGAAGAGGGGGACATCTGAATACTTCAAAGGGAGTGCTGGCCCGCAAGACGTAGCATTTCGAGGCGAATTGAGCGCCCGCAATGGTCTAAAATGGTCGTAGAACCGCCACCGCCGTGTAGAGGCCCGCCTACTGGTGTGAACTGATGTCAGTCCATTGGTTGGTGGGAAGGGATTACCATGTGCGGTGATAGAAAGTAGGATGGTTGGGCAAGCCGTACAGTGACGCCAACATCGTAGATTGTTGTCGAGCCCAAAAATCAACGGGTTAATGGATGTCCCATTCCCAGGGTTGTACGCTGACTGCTGCAACATTTGCCAGTTCTAGTTTTTCAACAGTGAACAAGTTATCGTAGCTCTGCTTTTGGATTTGGTCTCGTTTATTCCCGCAGCATGAGGCGAGAGGGGATCGCATGGTTTAGATGACGCTCACATTATGTCCATTAGTTCATATAGCCCATAAGTGATCTTGAAATTTTTACCTCTTCGATTCTGCTGTAGAAATATTGAAATGCAGGAACAAGATCGACTTTTACGTACGGTAGTGTCGGCGAAACGAATACTGAGCGCTGTGAACACCGCAAAACGTAACGCCGAGAATCTGCGACGCTTGGAAGAGCTTCAGCGTCGGATGGACACTACACCGTTCGACAAAGAATTCAGCGGGCATGACTACGCTTATCTCAACCTCACAAAGTAAGTGCGACATTTGTGCCTGTGTCCAGTGGCTTAAAGGCAGTGATCACGATGACTGGACGGCAGTGCGATTTCGATGGTATCAATGGTGGCCTGGACCCAAGGAAAGGGGATCAAGATCTATGGTTGGAACTGCCTCCTAACCGTACCGCCTCCAGCCACCGTGATACCGCCTTTAAACACGATTTTATTTTATTTTTAATTTATTTTGTCCCATACAGTCATAGATTTCACTTTGTTCCCTGTATCGGACTTGTCCTCGCAAACTTCGCCATTCACGCAGGTCGAGTTTGAACCACCCATTCCGGTCTTGAGCACGTCGTCTCCATTGTTGGCCGAGCGTTTCACCATCGAACCCCTCATTTTAGGCCTTAGTCATAGTATTAGTGGCTATTTATTCGCCAGCGGACAGCCAAAAAGGTTCTAGTATCAGTTCTATTATCCCTCAATTTACTCAGCTTCTGCCTTATTCACTCAAGGCCGAGTTACGGAATTGATTTATTACTATTATTATTATTATAATATTGTTATTATTAGAATTTGTACATATGACACACATACAAACTGGAGTAGGCAAATTAAGTGACCACGAAGCACGAGCTATTTACAGCATCAATAAGTGAACAGAAGGAAAAGCGATAACCACGTCCTCACACTTCAACACTTTTTGACAAGTATATTTCATAAAATTGCGATGGATCAGTTTTACTATAAACGCGTAAGACAGATTCGCTTGCGGCAGATGGGGGTCGATCCACGTAGAATGTCACTTCATCGATGAATGTCTCGTTCAAGTCGACTCCATCCTAAATTGTTCAAATTAGCTCACGAGTAATCTGAAATGGGTAACTGTACATGCAATGGTATTGCCGTCACCGTAAAGATTGTACAAAAGGGTAAGGTCGAGGAGCAGGGACTAAATTACAAATGTAATTTTTCTGAAGGGGTGCCGTGAACAGTAATGAGCGAGTTTCCCTGAGATACAAGGGGAGTTTTGGCGAGGGCTGGGGCAGTGTGGAGCAGGGTCAATCCTATGTTGCTATAAGTAGCAACGGGGGGTCGTATTTTGGTGAGTTTGTAGGGGGGCGTACTTGCTTAGGTTGTAAGAAGTGGCATGTGATGGGAGGGGAGCGGGCTGGGAGAAAATTTGCCGTTTCAGCGGCGCGATATATCCTCCTAGAAAATGGAGAAGCAGTGGAAATATGGGTATAAACATAGGGAAGTTGCAAAGGAATATGGACGGGAGTTGGTTCCGCGTTTTAGGGAAAGTAACCCGCTTCGACGGATAATTTTTGGGGTAAAAAATTGGTCGATAAGAGGGGGGGGATCGTAGCGGAAAACTTTTCCTGAAGGAGAAAGGGGGGGGGGTGGGGGGGTTGGGTAACTTTCACAAAGTAGCCAACGATATTAGGACTTGACCCGTGGTGTGGGTCCTTCTTTGGCGATGTGGTAAAGGATTGTACTAAACGAAGTGTGCCTTAGTGTAGGTTATGGAGCATGATGGAATACTGTTACCCACAACTGTAAGCAAATCTGGTCTGGCACATAGAAGAGCCCCAGGAGAGGTTATCCGAAATTCCAAAATTACACAGTTTATTGTGTTGAGGCCTAGGGTAAGCATAAGGCATGAGAAACGAGATCAAACGTGTCACACGGAGAGAAATGTTGAAATTGGACAGTCCCGTGACGGAATCCAAAACACGACCCTCACCCACTCCAGCAACCGCTGATGTTCACACTGTCGTTAATGCAGGCTCTTACATCTTGACACTTTTCAGAACTTGGCCCGAAAACGCCGAAATCCTTTTGGATGGGTTACACACTATAACAGCTGTCCGAAATTTCTCCAAATTTAGCGAAAAATTCCAAATTCCCAGGAATCTGGTTCTTCCCGTTTTTCTAAATCTTATAGAGAATAGATCTCTCGCTCCATCTACCCCCACCCTACCTTGGAACCACAAAATGGACCTGTAAATCCTAGACCGTAGAGCTGGTAGGAAATCTATAAGGTATATGTACTTACCTCGTTCAGAACTATGGAATCATCATTTATCGGTAACACTGTACACATCGAATCCAGGCACATACGCGACTTCTCGATTTCCCACAGCTGAAATTTCACAAAAATAGCTCGTGCTGAAGGGTGTGAAACAGTCTTTAGCGTTTACTACCTTGATGTCTTCGTTATCAAATGCAACCAGGGTGTCGTCGTTGAACTCGACGGGTGGTGGAGGTGGTGGGAAATTGGGAATAGGCTGAAACAAAATCCCATTATTTCTAAAAATATTGAAACACTGAAGCGTGGCTCGCCAATTGTCATTAACTTACTACATGTTTGTCCAGAGTTCTGTGGAATACAGCTGCTCCGTCACTTCTTTTTGGTGAACTGAAAAGAAAATCTGGGCTGGTACGCAAGGGCGTAGAAGAGCAGACAGGCTGAAAGCAAAAGGATATCAATGACTCTTGGTCAAATGAGAGATGAAAAAATTGTGAAGGACAAATTTAAGGGGGTTATCAAAGGTCAGCACACTCTAGCCACTGCGGTCTTATGCACCGGGGTCAACCGTCCGTTGGAATGTTCCCAGTGGGGGTCGAATTTTGTGCTTCTAGGAATGGAAGTTCTATCTGGAGGAAAAGGGGTTGTATTGCTGTAGGGAATTAGGGAGAGGCAGATTTCTGGGGAATGGGAAAATTTTTCAATGGATTTTTTCAAAAAAATTCTTTAAGAAATCAAAAAATCTCTTTCTATAATATCCCTTTATAAGTATTTACCACTCGCTCCCGCTAAGCGCTTTTTCAAAGCTTTGAGGGCGGAGTTCCGAAGTGTGATGAGCTGGCATTCAGCAGCGCCTCGGGCACCATTGACTGTGAGAACGGGGCCGTCTAGGGGGGTTGGCGAGGGTGTCATCTGATTTCGCGAATCAAACTCATTTACTCTATTACTCACTATGAATAGAGAAGGACGCGTTTTCCCTTTTCTTGGCGTATTAACTGTGGTTTTCAGAACTTTGATAATTCTGATGATCATCGAGTCGTTCTGGAAATAAGAAATTTTCATATAAGATTTTCATTTTTTTTCGGATTTTCATTCATACAAGAAATTAGCAGTAATAATTTTGATAGCACAGAATTTACCTTTGCAGTCCTAGAAATATACTGAAGATTACTGGTGGCATTAAATCGTTTAAGTATTACGGTAGTATTATGAGCTCCTGTGTTAAGACACCCGGATTCACCATTAGCCTTAAATGACGTTTTGTATTGTATGTGGACAAGATTACCAAGACTAAACTCACAGTACTATCGTCAACCTCCCAGTATTCTGATTCAGCCGGTGACGTGGAGCTGGGGTAGAGGTGGCATCTAAAAACAAAATATCATGTAAGATAAAGCATACTATGCGCTTTGTAATGTGCATGTAGTACAATGTTAGCTCCTGTTCCAGAGTTGATCTTTCCCTCGTTATCTTGCACAAAGGCCCGCCCCTAAGGAAACGCTAAATCAGGAAAATCTGCAAAGTAGAACCTACGAAAAAAAATTAATGGCAAGTCCAAGCCCCATAAAGTCAGTACCCTTCAAGTAGGACGAATCGCTCTATGTTACATCATTCAAAAGTTAACGAGTAAAGGGCTTGTTGGTAAGGGAGGACCTAACTTGCATAGGACCAAACGTCCTACAAGGACCATGTCAGCAACTACTGCATATGCTAGCTGCATAGGGGGAGCAACTCAAGAATTCGCGCTAAGCCCTGCGTTATTTCACTCAGACTAGCAGAAGAAGTTCAATGAAGTCCGCCAAGAGGGGAAGTTGGAAATCGACTTGAATCTTATTTTTAACTCTAGCAAAAAATATCAGAAAGTAATCAAATAAAATCAGTTACCTGTCCAGTATGGAATTTCTTTCTTGGGAGCCTCGCAATAGAAATGACGGTGGAAGAGGGCGATTGAATGATAAATACGTCGATGCCTGCAAAATAATTTTTAGCATCTTTCCATGCTAATTTTCAAATATTATTTATTTCAGCGCAGGCATTATTTTACTATTACAGAATCGGACTAACCGTAGGGTGTTTGACTTCTCTGTTCCCAAAAAGCTCCTTGACTTGCTTATCAGCCAGATGGTAAACCTGATAAATTTTGAGCTGACTTTAAATATTGTGATAAATTATGTGGAAGAACCAACCTTTCTGGACCTTCGAATCCTACGCCAAATTAGAACCAATAGCGAAAAGAGCCTCATGAGCGCTTCAGAGACCTCTGAAACCAGTAAGTTATCAAGCACAGTTATTAAGAGTGTGAACAGCACGGATGTTAGGAACAGGAATGGCATAGGTCAAGTAACAAGAACGATCACAGACTGGGAATCCCATAACTGTGTCATAAGGGCAGTACATCCCCTTGGGATGTGCGGCGAGAGTTGTCCTTACAATTAGGGGACAGTTTGACCCCAATAATTGGGTGGACACCCAGAGGTCCTCTTCACACATCCTTATAGGTCAGCATAAGCAAAGCAGATCAGAACCATTATTTTTTATGCAAAAATAATATTTGATAACAACAAAAATTGGCAAGAAGGTCCCTCAATATTTTGCAGTTTCAATAACTTTACAAATTAGCAAGATGCAGTGTAGCTTTTCTCATGATCCCCAACCAAGGGCTGCCATTGCATACAAACATTTCAGAGTCCGCATTCCCCTACCCTCCCTTTTCAGAGGATCCTCATATGATTCCATCCGGTCCCTTTTGCAGCAGTACTACCTACAACCTGCTTCCATTTGTGAGAAGCTCATCCGGGTATCTATCTGCAGCGATGCCAATTCCACCGCATAAGACCGGCATCCTGCTATCCCGAATTTCGCCCCCCTCCCCAACTCCTTCTTGTTTAGAGCTGCATGGATTTGACCCAGGCTCCAACAAGGCCGGCTCAAGGAAGAGGCAGCCAATGATCACTTCCTTCTTGGAATTTTTCCTTAACTCATACTGCTTTACTCCTTCTGAATTGATGTTTCTTCTACCTTACACTACCTTGAGCTTCTTATCGATGGCTTGGGATTCCGCCGCAGGAACTGAAACCTGAAATTTCACATAAAAAGCGATTATCTTACCCTTATCAAATATTCCAAGTAGTAAAAGAGTCGTGGGCATGCTTTGAAGATATGGTTCTAGGCGATAGCTCACTCCTGGAAGTATACCTTGTCATCGAAGGCACATCCGATCACCATTTTGTGATCAATCCTTCAGCTATGCCCTTCAGGAGCGCTAGAGGTTTCTTCCGTTACATGACCTACAAACTATCAGTCCACAAATCCCCGCTCCCCCCCCTCCCTCCAGCAGCTTCAAAAGTAAATATTATGCAATCTAGGACGATAAAGGTAATGACTTGAGCAATGAATAACGTCGAAAGTCACGCTGGTGTTTCCTTCATGCAAAGCTCCCTGTGATTTTTAAAGCTTGTTTTTGTTTCTTTTGGATTTTTTTTTTCTGGAGGAAACGTTCGGCGCTTTTTTGTAATGGGCATCATGCAGGTTCGGCTGAGACTAGGGGATGGCGCAATAAAAAATTGTTTTCTTGTTTTTGAAATCAGTGAACCATGTATGAATTCCAGATATCGTCTCGTACATGATGGCCCATTGACGTGTCGATTCAATCGAGGAAAGATGATAGAATTGCATGTGGTACTGCTGGAAAACATGCTGGTCTTTCTGACGAAGCACAGCGATGGTAACAAATTGCAATTGAAGGTTTGTGCTTTCAGCATGATTGTCGAACCTCAGTGGTGGCACTGGCGACTGGAAGTAGTCTAACGGTCCGTTGGGATTTTTCTTGGTGTCATTTTCCCGATTTTATGGAGGGGGAGTCACTAGGCGACATGAGGTAGTATTTTGAGTGCTCGTATGAGTATTCGCAAGAAATGCGATGAGGTTTTTTTTGAATCAAAGCGATTCTCGGAAAGAAGAAAGAATTAGAGAAGTTTGCCGTTTCATGAGCTTCATATACTTCTGATCGACGCGACAGACTCCTGAGGGTTCACGCGACATGTTTCGATTGTGACATACGCGAACGAAATACTATAGAAAGCTCTATGGTGACCGGAGGGGGAGAGTCGAATGGGGGAGGGAGTGGGCTCTTTCCGGCGGGTGTCGTACATTTCCAATTTTACCCAACGTAGTTCCTGAACCCAGGTAGAAGGGATATCAATTGTGATGAATTGCTCGCGATTACCAATCAGGATACTCCTCGAGCGCTTTGTGAGTCTTAACCCAGGGCACTGAGCACCAATTGTATGACTTGGGTGGCGTAGCAGCGTAACCGCGTAGCAGCTACAGTGTTCACCGCGCTTTTTCGTGACTTACCAGTTCATAGGATACGCATTTCAGACGCTGGAACCATCAAAAGAGACGAAATGGTCGCCAATAATGCCGCTGGCTCCCTTGATCGCAAAGGAGAAGGCAAACGACAAACGGGCATTCTTTCTCGTATTCAACAGTCAGTATGGTGCTCAGATATACGAGCTTGTCGCAGCCACGGCAACTGAGAGAAAGACGTACGTTTTACAGTTTTTGCTGGATGCAGACGCACTGCGTTTTGCATTCAAATTTATTCCATTCTTTTTATGACCCGTATTAAAGGTACGGTGCTCACTAGTTGGTTGTCGGCTAGAAATGAAAGTGGGAGCTGTCAAGGGGTGCAACACTGCGAAAGCCTAAAAGATTGGCCAAAACACGTTGTATAAACCTCTGATTCCTATAGTGATGGGCTGACTTACGGCTCAGATAATGGCCGTTTAGACTGTTTTTCGGCTGGCACCATGCCAAATTCACGTCTCGATCGATGCAGCAACTCACAAAGCTGGCAAACCTTTAAAAGAGCACGGTTCAGAGCGACGATCATCTCCAAAAGAACGTCAGGTGCATAACGAATGTACACGCCGCGGTTTGTTCGAGGCAAAAATTCGTGAGGATCAATCTGAGCTGTTCATATGGGGCACTTTAGCATCAGCACTGAATTGGAGTAGGGTCTTAGATTGTTTAGGCCCTCCTCCTTTAGTCCGCGTTCATGCGGTCTACGGGCTACTGGATCTCGGTCCTTTGGACCGCCTCATCACGATCTCTCCTAACCAGGAAGGTCTTTCAGGGCGTGACGAGCTTTTTGAAACGGTCTTTTGCATGATATAGGGGCAGATGCGGCGACCACAGAACCATGTTTAATTTTTTCCTGAACGGCCCTCTATACCAGAAAAGGGGGTCTCTAGTTCGATTCCTCTTGGTGACAAATTTTTGCATCGCGACGCATCTGCCCCTATATCATGCAAAAGACCGTTTCCAAGAAGCTCGTCACGCCCTGAAAGACCTTCCTGGTAAGCATCGGCTCATGATCACTGTAGTTTCAATTACAATTTTTTTAAATCCGAGCCAGGCACCGTTCTCCAATAGTTTGCACTCCAGTCAATCGTGGCAGAGCCATGGAGGAAAGTAAAAGTAGCCACGTGTAAATTAAAAGAATAAAGCATTCGCCGTTGATCAATCCCTTTGTGGGATGCGACACGCATTCTACTTCCATTTGTAAATTCGTAGTGGCGTTTGAATGCGATGTGGCCTATACAATGACTTGCGGGGGCCAGCCGATGTACAAGTCAGTGGTTTTATTCTCCCAGACAAGTCTGGAACCAATTAACCGACCCCGGAGGGATGGAAGGCTTGGTTGGACCGGGCGACTCACGACCCAGGATTTCATCCCCGGCCGCTCGCGTGGTAAGCGTGCCACTTGCCACTGAACCACTTCAGCCCTAGTAGCCACGTAACCTGTTCATAATCAACGGGCTGAAGTATCGAACAGTTTGATCAGTCTCAAGTCGTTCGCTCCAATTGTCAGCGAGCTATATCTCTTCATGAAGGGCATACCTAATATTCCCAGGATTTGGTTGTGTTTTTCCAATAACGCAGCACTGAATGGCTCGGCCTCGCATGTCATTGTATAGACCAATTCGCTTCTAAATTTTGCGACTATGAATGGAGGTAGAGTACGTGGCACATCCTGGAAGGGATTGATCAGGGCCGGATGCTTTATCATTTGATCTTTTTTTATTGAAATCTAGTGATGACTAATATGACCGTTAACTTCCAGGTGGTTCAAATTAATATCCGATCAAATCGAAAACGACAAGAAGCATCAAACCCAAGGAATAGAGTGAGTAATACAAAGACCTATTTTACCTTTATTGAACGATGCTATCACTCAACTTTCAGGCACTGCAATTTCGAAGTTGGCACTAGTTCATCATTGGATTCAGATGGCTTAGCCAAGGTGACTTTGTTCTTTTTTATGCTTCTGGCTCATTCACTAATTCTTCTTCACTTCTAGGTCCATGTGCTGACACACCCTCGACTGGTTCATGCGTCAGAAATTACGGTACAACAACCTACAGTACTGGAACATGCACAACCAGTGCTCACTCCCACGGAACGATTACGGCGGAGCGATGACGTCATCTTTCAAGCTCTGCTCACCAAGCAAACAATTCTGGCACAATTTTTACCTGGCGACAAGGTGATTTTGATAAAAACTCAGTGAGACTAAGCACGACTTTCCCGGTCTCAAGATCGCAACTAGCAATGAGCGCTATGGAAGCTCTTTATTGGCTATTGCGGGCAATCCACCAACTACCGCGCTGCTTAGGATATATAATTGTTCTTGAATAAGGAAATCTTTATAATCCTTTCGCTTTCAGAAGGGCAGAACGGAAGAGCTGGAGAAGCTGACGGAGTTGCTAGGCGGTCTAGCTGTTGCAGATTTGAAGCAGCGTGACTGCAAAGAGCTAGCTATGTCGGCTATAGTCCATGGAAATAGATTGCTCGACAGTATAAACCAAGGTACTGTTTCATTTTCTGATCATAAGTACCAAGACTGCATTATTTTTGTTCATTAGTGAATATGTACCAATATGGGGGGGGGTCCAGTCAAGTGGCACCATTTTCTATGCACGGATCTCGAATCTCGCCCAGATCATTCAAGTCCACCACCACTTCGGGGTCAGTGAATTGGTACCAGGCTCGTCTGTGAGGACAAAAGCCTTGGCTTGGCATCGGTTGACCGCCGAGGTATAGTCCATAACGCATTCAGATGTCATCATGGTTCTGAATGGAGGTAGAATGCGTGGCGCATCTTCGCAGAGAATGCCGAAATCTTTATCTTTTCTTTTATGTTATTTTTGAGAGGTGTTCTCATTATTTTTTGCTGATCTAATCTAAGTATTGATTTTAGGCATGAATGCACGCAAGGAAGCTGACGAAGCGAATCCTGGCGCTTCGCTGCTCGTTCTGGATGACGTCGAGAAGAATTTGCCTTCTGTGCCTTGCTACAAGGTTCGTCGAAATTTTTTTGAACATTATGAAATTTTGGAGCTGCTTTCCTTGGAAACTTTATTGGAAGGCATTAGATCCAACAGCTTCTGACAGTTAACTTGCAACTTTCAGCTGACTGCCATTGCTGCACCCTTGATGAACCACTTGAAAGCCTTGATGCAAGTGATACAAGATCAGCAGACGGAATTGAATACAGTAAAGCAACAGCTGTATCATTACAAAGTTAGTATTTTATTCATTCACCGTTCTCTAAAATTCGTTGCTCTCTCAAAAACCGAAAGTGAGAGGTTACGCCACGTATGTGGGCGGAGTGATCTTTGGCAGGCGTGGAAGGTATGGTAGGTTGGCCGTATCGCCGGTCTTAGCTTCTATTTTGCTTCAACTATTTCAACTCATTACCCGCCATACTTCCTCAGATCTGCATCTTATGCTTCTTCTTATGATAACGTACTGGTATTTCAATGAGTTTCAGCATATTCGTTGCCTTTCGGATGCAGCAAGTATGAACACATTTGTAGAACATAGTCGAAAAAAAAACAAAGCACAAAGGTCCTGTCCGTGCGGCAGCGTGGTGCACCATGTGCTTCACGCAGTGTGCATTGCAGTAAATCGGGCGTTTCCCCTACGACTCTCGATTTTAAGTGCGCATTTCAATTGGATTTTTAGCGTTTTTGTGTTCCAGTAATTGGAGGCGCTTTCCGGGGTCAGGCATGTTCACCTGTTCCATCCCCGATTGTGGTAGGCAGACTTTGATGTTCGGCTTCTTCGTGCGCGGCGAAAGCGCTAGAATTTTGGTGGTCCCGCTGTCCACATCTTGGTCCGCAAACTCCAACTTCCGCTGTCAGCTGCCACGCTGGCGCTGCAGGAAGAGCGTTGCCGCGGTTGCAGCAATAGAGCAGCTATAGCTAGCCGTTCAGAAATTCGTCCACTCACGTCACTCCTCTGGTAGAAGGACCACCTGAACCCGATCCTTTAGGGCGCCTCAGTTTGATGTTCTCGTCTGCCCTCTCTCGCACTATGAGCGGCTCATCCACTGTGATCTCACACATCTTTTGCCTCACTACTAGTTGGCTCACCCACCTCGGGGTCCCTCCTCCCTACAAGGCTTGGCCCTAGGGCTCTCACCCTCCTTCTTGGGATTTCCAGCCGAACCGGTGCTGTCTTCTGATCTGTGCTCTCCGCCATTCGCGTTGGGACTAGAGAGGAAATTCAAGTGGTCCGTAAACCCACTTTTCCTTTCAAAAAAGAAGTACGGCTAAGGGAGGGCTGCACTCTTCGAGCGTAGGGAGCTCCTTTTGCCTTCTTGTTTTTTTTCAGACTACTACCCGTCTTCATCTTCATCACTAAATGCGCTCACTCATTTGATCTCGGGTTTTGCCTTTAGAAGAGTTAACTCTTTCAGGAATTGGCTGAGTGCGGCTCAAGGGATCGATCAGTAAGCGAGGAAACGTTAACTGAATGTGCAACGGATCAGCAGGAACGAAAGCTAATGACGAAACGTCAACGAACGCCATCTATACAACCAGTCACATGATTCATAAGTAATTAGTATAAGTAATTTATTTGCCACTAATATGAGATTGTCGAGTGTGTGAGTAGGACCGCTGAGACAAACGCCCTTGTTGAGCACGAAGCCGTCCTCATAGGCGGTGTCTCATTAATTACATATTTTCATATATAGTAAGCTTTGCCAATATCTCCGTTTAAAATATTTGCTCATAGATCCGACGGAGTATTGTCACCTGCGTGAACCATTAAGTAATTTCTTCCCTGTACAGATGAATTGAAAATTTATGATCAAATGATTCGCTATCACTATGTTCTGCTGTGTTCCGTGTCTCTATATTTTACGTCGCTTTTTGTAGCAAATATGTGAATTGATTTCTGTTATTAACTAGGCTTCTGATAACCTCATTTGACCGTGTTCCTAAAATGTTCATGTCCTTCACGCCTATAGTACAGGCCATGCCGCAACGCATACGCCACGCGGGTGCGTTCTGGCATGATTTATTTCATGACATCAATTCTTGTACTTATCGATTACTTATCCTCTACGTAATCGTTTCTTTTTTTTTGTTGCAGAAATTCTGCACTACCTGCCAAAAATGATACCATGTAACCCATTTACAGCTTGAATTCTGTGTCATTCCATGTTGCGCCGGTGGATTTTTTCTTAATAATTGATTTCGTGGGCTCGCAGTCTTAATATTGTCATAATTTTAGATTTCTCAATGTGATTCTGTTATTTGTCAATATTTTTTTTGAATTTCGTCAGTGTTCTTGATTTTGAGGTGAGTAATGCTTTAATGGGTCTTCTAGAGAGTGATAGCATTTGAGAACTCGAGACGTGCCTAAGCACGCTGGACGTCATCGCCTACCCCTTCACATGGACTTTTTCTGACTTCTCTTTCTCGAATAAATACCTGTGAATCGCGGCTTTCCGACTGATGCTCTCTCTCTATCTGAGGTTACGAAGAGTTTGTGTGTAGGGAATCTTGGAAACAGGAATTGGTCATTTGTTATCACATACATGTTGTTTCTGTGAGGTGATCAGTTTACCTGGCATTTCGATAGATGATTGTTTTGTCAAAGTTGAAATTGTTTAGTGTTTCAAAAACTACCGTTGCAAGCGGGACCACTATCTTGTGCATGAAGCGTGGATGGAAGCTGTACAAGTTTCCATGTACGGCATTGCAACTACATAGGCATGGTATATTGGTGGCTGATATCTTCTGTAGAGCTCTCCGCGAGGTTGCTGTGTAGAATTTGTTGGCTTCCTTCGATCCTTTCAGGCTCTGAAGAACGCGGCTTCGCCGAAACGTAAGCTACTAAAGCCTACATAACAACCTCGAGGAAAGCTCTACAGAAGATATCAGCCCTCAATGTGCAAGTTTGGTTCAAGTCACCAGCCTTCAATACTATTTTTGTCGGTTAATTGTTTGAAATAGAATAACACCGCTGATATGTCTAAGGGCTAGCGTTGCTGGTCACGGCACTGGCAAACATGCATCAGAATGTTATTGTCATTCTCAATGTAAAATGAGTGCATGGCTCGTCACGGAAGGTTATAGGTAAAAGACTTCTGTCGGCGCTATCGCAAAATAGGGGGGGGGGGCATTGCGGTGGCAATTCGCATATTGACCGCGTAAAAACGTCCTTCTTCTTGTCATAACGGGACTGAGCTTTGCGGAGGAGGTGTGAGTCCAGGGTGTGTGAGCACGTTTTCATTTTCTCTGAAGTTGCTCTGCCCTTGTCCAAAGCTTGGTCGTAAGAGGATGCCCCCGTATCGTTGCGCTAGCGCCTCTACTCTATTCCTCTATCTAATGAGAGAGAAGATGTGATGGTGCGATAGTTGAGCTCCACCTCTCTGTGACTTGGTGATAGTCAACCGCTATGTTGTATTGAATTCAAAATATTGCGGCCTCTTCCTTGACGAGGTTCC